TTAGCCAGCTCCTCCAACTTAGTGAACTCCGCCTCCGTCTCCTCCAGATTAATATATTTCTTACACCTTTTCAGCACATCGTCATACGTACGAGCAGGGGTTTTGGCTAAAGATGTTCGACAGGGCCCTGCTCGCAAACTCCGTATCAACCCCCCAGCCTTCACCTCATCCGCGGCCGTGGGGATCTCCAAACAAGTTTGGTTGTATCGCGCAACATACTTGCGCAACGATTCTTTCTCCCCTTGCCTCATGGCCATCAGCGTCAAATACGTTTTCTCCTACGCCACCGCACTCGCATATTGCGTCATCAGCTTTTCCGCAAAATCGTCAAAGTCCTTGATCGATCCATGAGGGAGCTGCTGAAACCAATCGAGCGCACCTCCCCTCAAGGTCGATAAGAATGCCCTGCAGCTAACAGAATCAGAATAACCATGTAACACAGCCAAATTCTCAAACGCCTTTACATGCCTCGACGGGTCAGTGGTCCCGTCGAACATCAAACTCATGTCTCTAAAATTCGCAGGTAGTGGTGCAGCCAATATATCCCTCGAGAACGGATGTCCTCAAGCACGCCTTTCAGGTCGACCATCTATCTTAGCCTACATCTGCCTCACCTGCTCCGCGAGCCTCTCCACCTCCCGATCTCGCAGGGCTCCATCTCCTCCATAGCTAGACACGTCCTCATCCACCATCGTTGGTCCAACAGCCACTCGCAAAAGGCTTTGAGTGACTTGCTGAACCGCTTGTGCCGCCGCGTTCGCCATCATTTGCTTGGTCATCACCACTTGCTGGCCGGGACGCGGCTCCTCCACCGGCGGCGGTACTGCTCCCTGCACCATCGCTCCTTGTTGCGGCGTCACGGCTAGATCTGGTTGCAGTGGTGTTGGGATCGCCGCTCCTTGAGCTGTACGGGTCTCCTGGGCCCGGCTTGAGCCCACATCAGCCTCTGGTTGCACCGGCGTGACTCCTACACCTTGGGGAATGGGCGTCGGAGTCACCGGTGTACGCGAGGGTCCAGAGAAGCCCAGGGGAGAGCCTTCTCCAAACGGCCTCGTCGTCGTCCACGCATCATCGAACGATGCCTGCAAATCTCTCCTTGGAATTTCGTCCGCCATAGCCACCGAGCTTCGTAAATCTCAGCACACCACTTTTCGAATGAAAGTCCCACAGACGGCGCCAAATGGTAACGCAAAATACTTCGGCCGGCTTGAAATCGGCTTCCCTCCTTCTTCCTCGCCGGTAGAACGCTGCGCTCCTGCACAGAACTCTCACATTGGAGGGGTTTTCCGGTGAAGAGCCTCCGATGCTTAAGTTAGTATGTGTTTGTTTAATTTTTCAAAGTAAAGAATGGATAAATCGTGAATCACAAGATAAGACCCACTCCCATATATATAGGAGTGAGATACCTGCCCTAGGAGCTGCCCGGATTTTGGTGAGCTGTCCTGCCCGTACTGCCCGTCCGTACACACATAGTGTGCATGTTGTCAGAGATGTCAGAGGTGGCTATCGCCACTATCGCTCTGCACCAATGTATTCTCGCCACGTGTCCCTCTGAGCTGAGGGAGATTATTCCTCTGCGCAGGCCGTTGGGATCTTCTAACGTCACCTACGTGCCTTCTTGCGTCTACGCGTTGCTCTCGACTGCTCTCCATCTGCTGTGTGCTCGATCTGGTCGATCCCTCCCATCACTAGGTCGATCCTCGACCAGTTCTGCTATTCTGCTCGATCTTCTTCCTTTTGGTCGATCATCTCTCGACCAACGCGGTTTTCTCTACTTCGAGCTTGCCCGACCTATGCAGTAGGCCGATCTATTCCTTAGTCATATAATATCCCATATCACATTCCTATTTTGCAAAATCAAACTACAGGAAGAATTTGTGGGTATGGAAAGCCGGTAGGAAATCTATATGTCTATGATAGAGCTGAGAACAAAAACACAAGATATGGTGAATTGTAATCTTTCATTTGAAGTATGGCATAGAAGCTTGAGTCATGCTTCTTCTCAACTTTAAAACACCTGAGTTTCCTGCAGAAGGTTTGTAATGAGGATGGTGAGAAGCTGTTACATTCTTGTGAAATATGCTACAAATCAAAACAGCATAAGCAGTCATTTCCAAGGAGTACAATACAAAGCAATGATTGTTTTGATCTTATACACATTGACATTTGGGGACCTAGTAGGGAGAAGTACAAGACTGATACACCTTTCTTCGTCATCGTGGTTGATAATTATAGTAGAGGAACATGGTTTTTTTTTCTTTTATTTTTTTTATGAAGCACAAGTCTCAGACAAGTAAGTTGTTGAGAAACTTTGTGTGTATGGTTGAAACATAGTTTGGAAAGAAGGTAAGAGGATTATATCAGACAATGGATTGGAAATTCTAGAGAATGAATTGCAAAGTTTTCAGTGAAAAGGGAATATTGCATGAGCAAGTTGTGTCTACTCTCCACCACAAAATGAAGTGGTAGAAAGAAAACATACACTTATTGGAGGTGGGTAGACCATTGCTATTCCAAGCTAAACTACCCTTGAAATTTTGGCTTTTTTTTTGTGCTCACAACTTCATATGTGATCAATAGAGTGCCTACATCTATTCTTAATTGGGAAACTCCTTTTCAGAGAATGTACAACAAACCACCTGATTATGAAAATGTGAAGCCTTTTGGGTATCTCTGTTATGCAGCAAATACTCATACTCACCTTTCAAAAGAGAAGTTTGATTATAGAGGATACAAGTGTATTTTTGGGTTATGTAAGTGGAAAGAAGGGTTACCACTTGTATAAAATTGCGACTAATGAGTTGTTGGTGGCTAGGGATATTGTGTTCTTTGAAGAGCAGTTTCCTTTCTCAACACAAATCATAGAGAAGGATGTTACACTGCCTCAGGAAGTTGAGGATGAGAACAATCAACATGCTTATGAGGAACTACATGATCATGTAGAATCTCCACCACCTATGTTAACACTGAGAAATGATTTGAGAAAGAGTACAAGAGTCAGACAACCTCCTGTTTGGTAAGAAGATTATGTTTGTGGGAATGTTTCTCACCAACAATTTATAGAAAATGTTACACTCCTGAAGGAGCCTATTCATTATGGGCAGGCCAAAAAGGATCCAGCTTAGGTTAAGGCTATGGAAAATGAACTGTATGCACTAGGGAAAAATGATACTTGGGAATTGGTTACGTTGCCTAAGGGTAAGAAGGCCATTGGGTCCAAGTGGGTATATAAGATAAAAAAGGAAGAATGATGGCACTGTGGAGAGATTTAAAGCAAGACTAGTGGCTAAATGGTATAATTAACAAGAAGGAGTTGGTTTTTTTGATATATTTTCACCAGTAGCAAAGTTGGTGACAGTAAGGATCTTCATTACTATTGCCACACTGAATCAATGGAGCTTGCATCAAGTGGATGTCAATAATGCATTTCTTCATGGACATCTTACTGAAGAGGTTTACATGTTGCCACCATAAGGGTATAACAAAGGAGCAGATGGAGAAGTTTGCAAACTCAAAAGGAGTTTGTATGGGCTTAAGCAATCCTCTAGAGAGTGGAACAAGGACCTTAGTCAGAAACTCACAGAGTTTGGGATGCAACAATCATCTTCAGATCATTGTTTATTTACCTACAAGCAAGGTACTAGTTTCCTGGCCATACTAGTATATGTTGATGATGTGCTTCTCACAAAAAATGATAAGTTCACCTTTAAGGACCTTAGGACAACTAAGTTTTTTTTGGGTGTGGAAGTGGTGAGATCTGCACAGAGACCTCTTTGAGCTAAAAGAAGTATGTGTTTGATCTGCTAGGAGATATGAATATGCTGAGTTGTGCATCAAGTACTACACCTTTGCCTTGTGGGATTAGGCTTCAATCTGAAGAAGGAAATCCATTGGCTAATCCTGAAGAGTATAGAATATTGATTGGGAGACTATTGTATCTTAATCTCACTAGGCCAGACATGACATATTCGGTGCAACGGTTGAGCCAATTTGTGAATGCATCAAGGACTTCTCATTGGACAACTGGGTTGCGTGTGTTAAGGTACTTGAAGGGGACCTCACATCATGGTTTATTTTCCCCACAAGCTGGTATGTTTACTCTCTCTGCCTACTGTGATGCCGATTGGGCTTGTTGCAAAGATACTAGGTGATCTATCACCGGGTGTTGCTTATTTTTTGGTGGTTTATTGGTTTCATGGAAAACAAAAAAGCAGCAAACGGTCTCTCATTCTTGTGCGGAGGCCGAATATAGCACCATGAGTGCATGTGTTTCAGAATTGCTATGGATCACATACATACTTCGAGACTTTGACATATTAGTTGCCTGTCCCATACCGCTGTGGTATGACAACAAAGAGACTATTCACATTTCCACTAATCTGGTGTTTCACGAAAGGACCAAGCACTTGGAGATTGATTGTCATTTTGTATGTTATATATACAAAGATGGTTTTCTGCTTTCCATGCATTTATCTTCTAAACATCAGTTGGCCGAAGTCTTTACCAAGATTCTCCCTCACACGCAGGCTCGTCTTCTTTTATCCAAGCTGAGCATGGTTCAACCATGCTCACCTTGAGGAGGGGGTGTTGAGATATACGAGCTACATCCATGGTTGCAGCTCATGAGAGTTTATAACACCTTTCTTTTCTGTTTTTGTCGTTATCTTAATAAGAGTTGCTTTTTTTATTTGTTTTGTTTTCACGCTTTTTTATTCACGCTTCTTTTAGTTAAAACGTCATCGTTTAGATTTCTATTAGGAGTGGACTCATGCGACGTCGTCTGATGGACGAACATGCATGAGCTATAAATAGGTCTTTCCTTCGCATGCACTTTCAGTTTTTTTGATTGAATGGAAGCGCGCCCCCTTGCGCACCAAATTCTTTTGAATTTCATAGGATCTGCACAAACAACGACTTAAAAGCACAAAAAAATGAAAAGGAAAGCGCGTAGTCAATAAGTTGTCGGCATAGAGTGTGTCAAAAGAGACCTGATCTTTGAGGGAGAAAGCGGCTCTGAGAAAAGCATTAGCCAGCGAGCGAAAGGTTGAAGGCCGTCGGATCACAACCAGGTTGGAGAATTTTGAGCCACTCATCTCCATCTTCATGGCCGTTGTTCATGTTGGTACTCTCCTTGTTGTTGAACATCCGTTTGCTGCCAATGTTTTCAGCTAACTCGAGCTCCCGCCAGAGCTTCCTGCCGATTTCCAACGCATCCTCGGCGGCCTACGAAATCCCGATGTTGGGGCTCGAATTCGCTATACCGACGGTGAGATTCAACAGGGAGAGCGACGATTGGAGGGTTATGCTATTTTTTTTTCGGTGATCAGTTCGAGAGGTTAAATATAGGTACAAGTTAGTGCTTGAGAAAATAATGAGGAATCGAGAACCAAAAAAAAAAGTAGAAGAAGAAAAAGAGAAACTTGAGGAAATAAATTGAAATGAAATTTAGGAATATTTGGTGGTTTAATTGAGATATGTAATTAGTTTTAGGGTCAATGTTAAAAAATAAATACTTAAGGACCTTTTACGTAAATGCATTACAAGTTTTTAAGTAAGGGCATTTTAGTATTTACATAAAGCATTAGGGACACTTGGCATCCATTTGAGGTATACTTGATGTTAGGTTTGTACGGGGCTAAAAAAATGATCTGGCAGTAGAATAACCCTAAAAACCATTCTAAATAAATCTTTTCTCAAGAAAAATCTAAAGATCCCATTAAAAGCTGTTAAGTTTCAAAAGGTTGTAATGCTTCAAAAATCTAAGAAGCAGTAGGATATAAAAGTCCTAAAGCCAAATGGCTAAAGTCAACTTTCTGGAATTCCTGGAAACGCATAAGACTCACCGGAGTAAGTGCCGTATACGAGGGGAAGTAAGACGATTAGAGGAACGTTTGGAATTGAGAATCAATCTTGAGGTCATGGTGGACCATAAAACAACTCTTAAGATTGTAAAACTTTCAAAGAAGAACAAGGTATATGTATGAACCCTCTCATAATAAACAAACTAAAAGACAAGAATTTGATGAATATTGTATCACTAATAGGATATCAAAATGAAAAGCTAGTATCCAAGATTTAAAAGAAATAAAGGAAATCCTTGAAAATGGTCGATAAAGGTTAGATAATGAATCTGAAATCACCGAAAAGAAGAGTATAGTTAGAAACAACTTTCCAGATTAATTGATTCTTTCAATAAAAACATCAAAAAAACCCCCTGAGAAGACTAATATTAATCAGTTAATATTAGAAAAATTCGAATAAGTAGGAAAAAAAGAATACTCTCTCTAGAATAAAAGAAGTCTTCAATCTCCTCTTTTTTTTTTCTCGAAACGATAGAGGTACTATATTAATAAAAACCCCACAAAGTGGGAAGAGAAAGCAGCCAAAGGCTGAATAGTACCACCAAAGACTAGAAAACTGGGAGGCAGATCCAAAGATCGCCTAGAGCCGACCCCAACAGGGTAATACTCGGGAAACCCACAAAAAACACAACCACACTAAACCAACTACACAAACAAAACTAAACAAGACCCCAACAGAGTAATACCCGAATGTCGGATCCCAACAGGATAATAAATTTGACATCCGGGCGCACAGAGGCCAAACGGCTTTAACCAAAAACACAAACCTAAACACAAGACACGAACACAAAGAACAACCGAAAAAAAAAAATCTAATCTGAAGGCACACAAAGCCCTTCTCCAACGAGATAACCGAACCTCGCACAAGGCACCAGCGAAATCAAGAGCAATCACCCAATAGCTTGACGCGAAAGCCGGAACACCACTCCCGCCACTGCCTAAAGCCTAGCAAAGGAAGAGTCCCAAGCCTCGAACCACTCCACAGATGAAGCCAACCCACAGCCCGAGGAGGATCGATCAGCCCCACCACACAGACCCGCTTCCCGTGACCCGATCAAACACTATTGGTCAGAATCTGAGCCTGTTGGGCATCCAACTTCACAAAACCAGCAAAGTGTACACAGGGGTACGAACCAATCAACCTCAACCCCGGCCAACATGACTCATACAAGCCGAGCCACCAAGGTCGCACCCAGCCCCAACCACAACCACTCACCTCTTTGAAACAACCCGCCACTAACCTGGAGCGCAGCGCACAAGCTCCCACCGGTGACCGAGCAGAGAAGAAGCCAACCGACGGCCAGCCACCATAGCCTCTACATGGAAAACCGGACGACGGAACTACGACCTGCGGGAAGGAAGCGGCGAGACCTGCCGACGGCTTAGGAGAAACGCCATCGGCGCAGAAGCACCGACAAGCGAAAAATTGGAGCGGGAAGACGCAGCTGAAGGTCATCCGCCGGCGAAAGGGCCGGCTAATCGCCAGGGAAGGCACGCGATTGACAAATTTTGACGGGCAACGGCTAGGGTTCTTGGGAGAGAAATTGGGGATCTTAGTTCGAAATTTTCACTTCTTCAATCTCCTCTAAAGGAACTTTTTTATTTTAAAAAATGGAAAAAGATTTTTGCAATCTTAATGAAAGATTAAGACAAAGACCTACAAGGCTAGATGTTTACAAAGAACTTAGAAAAAATGAAATAGATTTATTTGAAAATATTAGAATAGATCTTTTTGAAAATCTTAAAAACCTGAAATATGGATTAACACTCAAGAAAAATGATTGTAAAAAACTTTCTACCAGAGACAATTACTACAGTGATGTCCTTCCAGAATTAGAAAACCAAGTCAACTTTATATAAGGAATAAAGAAAAAGTTGAAAAAACTAAAATTTAATATCTATGTTTGAAATTCCGCATGGGCTTTAACTCATTTAAACTTGGCATGAAAATGTCGTTTACAAGTTTTAACAAGTTTAAAATCTCTTCCGAAAAAGTAGTATTAGAGTCTAGTAATAGGTGAAGATATTAGAAGAAGATATAAACTTTAATTGGAAAGCAGCTAATGTGCTTTCTTCAGTATGCAAAGATAAAAAAAGTTATAATTTATTAAGAAACTATTCATTAAGGGTAACTTTGTTATTTTATAGGAAAATATTAGGAAGGTTATTTACATAATATATGGAATTGACTAGGCCATTTAAATGAATGCCCGGTGAGACATCTGCTTGTGGTGATACCACCCAACCTTATCGTCAACATAATGAAGAGACACAAACATGTGAATGGTGGTCCCTATTTCTTTTGTTGGTTTTCAATCAACGCTTTTATGAGAAAGCAACGGTGTTCTTATCCATAGTGATTCAAGCATTTTAGTTTGCTATTTAAAGGGTGTCAATCCTCATTAGTAAGACACTTCGAATTTGAGAATTTAATACCCTTTATAAAAACCATTCTATCTAAATCTTCTTTCTCCAAATAAAAGTTTAAAGATCTCATTAGCAACCCATAAGCTGTTAAGTTTCAAAAGGTTGTAAAGCTTCAAAAAAACCAAAAAACGGTAAGATATAAAAATCCGAAAGTCAAAGAGCTAAAGCCAACTCTGGAGTTCCTTGAAACGCACAAGACTCACCTGAGTAAGTCCCGTATACGAGGGAAGTAAGACGATTGGAGCAGCGTTTTGAATTGAGAATCAAGCTGAAAGCCATGGTGGACCAGAAAGCAACTCATAACATTGTACAACTTTCAAAGAAGAACAAGGTATACGTTTAAACTCTCTCATAATAAGAAAACTAAAAGAAATTTTTTTTTGATGAATATTGTATCAGACTGATAAGATATCAAAATGAAAAACTAGTATGCAAGATACTAATAAACTAATGGAATTTCTTGAAAATTGTTGAGAAAGATTAAATAGTGAATCTGAAATCAGTAAAAAGAAAAGTATAGTTAGAAATAACTTTACCAGGTTAATTGATTCTTTAAATGAAAGAATATAAAAAAAAAACCCACAAAAGGCTAAAATTAATAAGTTAATATTAGAAAAAGTCAAAGAAAGAAAAAAAAAGAATACTATCTCTAGAAGAAAAGAACTCTTCAATCTCATCTGAAGAACTTTTTTATTTTAAAAAATAAAAGAAGAATTTTGCAATCTTAATGAAAGATTAAGACAAAGATGTATAAGACTTAATGTTTACAATGAACTAAGAAAAGAGGAAATGAATTTATTTGAAAAGATTGTTGGATATTTCTTATCCTGAAATACACACGGGATACCTATGAACTGAAATATATTAGACAAATACAATATAACCAGAAATTAATAACAACTTAAAAACAAAACGAAAAGAGTTTTAGCCGAGGCGAGCAAATTCTTTCCGCAAGAAGAATACGCCCCGTGTGGCTGCTAACGGTTCAGGCGTAACTCCCCAAAAATACAACGGCAAACATATCTAAATCTGTAGCACACCAGATTTATGAGCTCCGGCGAACTGGATCGGAGTCGAGAATTGAACACTTAAAAATATAAATAGCAATATCTCTCTTTTGTTATTTTGATAACAAATAAATATTTTTATATTTTTATTCTTTCTCTCTATTTTCTCCTCCTTTCTTTTCCTGAATTTCCTCTTCATTCCTTCTGTATTTTCTCCTTCTTGCAACACACACACATATATACATATATATATATATATAACACATGTGTAGCATGTTGGTGGTTGGAAATTAGGAAAATTTATTGAGTTGTCCACCAATTATTTTCCACGCATGGTATCAAGTGGTTGAGTTGGATGAGAATATTTGGTATAGTGGTTGAAAGTGGTTGTCCAAATACCAATTATATGAAATTTGTTGAACCAAACTCACATTTACACTCAATTTACTAACAATCTCCCACATTAGTGTAAATTAAATATATATATACTATTGTGCCCAATCCTCGCAAAACTCTATTGCATCAGAAAAGGTAGCTTTTAGCTTTGAACCTTTTTTAGTAAACATCATCGGATGCACTGACGGACTAGTGGACATGATGCCTTGAACTATGTCTCCGTAGTGTACACCTAGACAATGACATTTACACAATAGAGTTTTCACTCCATTCCGTTCTATCGTTGTGTCCGTTTTGGCCATGGACAACACAATGGATTCATAAGTGTTTACATTTGAAGCGGCCCACACTTCACACTTATATAGGTGACCTCCCTATCAAGAGTATCCTGTTATACTCCACCTTTACAAGGTTAGGGATGCATTAAAAGTCCATATGACTTACCCTCACCCCAATCAACAGGTCATCTTGCACTTGGAGTGCTCCAGGGAATAACTTTAGACATTCATATGTTCCAAGTGCTCAACTGAACTTTCATAGCTTAGTTTTTGTAATGCCCCGGTTATTTGTGGATTATTTGGGATTTCTTATTATTATTATTATTATTATTATTATTATTATTATTATTATTATTATTAATTAGTGATAATATTTATATTTATTTTT